TCTCCGCGCCGTTGTGCTGCGTGGGGGAGGCCACGGGGTTCCGCGAGCGCGCGAAGGCGCTCATGAGCGGCAGCGCGCCGGGCCGGTGGTTCCGGGGCCTGAGGGAGGAAGGCGAAGGCGACGGCGAGTCAGGGCTGCCCCCAGCCGGACGCCAGGCCACTCCTGCTTCCTCACAGGACACTCACCAGTCCTCGGGGTCGCAGTCCCGGAAACCTTTGGCGAAGGGATTACTGGCGATCTTGAGCTGCGTGATCTACAGAGTAGCAAGCATGAGTGGAGCCTGCAGCCCCCCTTGGCCCTTCCCATCTCTGCGCGATAGGGTGCCCGCCGAGGAGAGGGCCCTGGCACCCAGTCCGCCCCCTCCCCACACTCTACCTCTTGGCTCCTAGACTGAGGGGGGTGGGGGATGCCCTCCCTCCAGCCCAGACAGGTAGGAATGCGATTGTCCTGGACCCCACTGCATGGTTCTGACAACCCACTGGGTACCCTGAAATCTGGGCAAACCCTCCTCGATGAGGCGTTTCCGGAATGGTTTGGAAAACAAACTTTCAGGCCAAAGTGTCACTGGCCACTTGAGAGGTCAAACTGATCGGAGGCCAGCCCGGCAGGGGGGCTGGAGGAGAGGGGACCGCTCAGCCCCAGGCCCTGGGGGTGGGGATTCTCCTAGCCCGAGCCCCTGAGCCTGAGGGTCCCAGCCGTGGGACTAAGGGAGAGACCCAAAAGTGCGTCCCCTCCCCAGGACCGAAGCTTCCCAGCAGCTCTGAGAGGAGGCCTGCCCAGGGCCGCTGCTGCCCGCCCTCCCTCACCCGATGGTTCTGGTAGGCAGTGACCGCTGTGAAGCGAGTCTCCTCAAACACGAAGGTTTTGAAATTCTCCTCTGCGTACTTCTCGCTGTCCTTGCGTGGGTCCACGTACACCACGTGGAAGCGGGGCTGGTATCTGTGCATGGAGTTGAGAATGATCTGGAAGGTAAGGTGGGGAGCCCCGCTCAGCAAAGGGGGATGGAAGGGAACAGGCCTAGGACCTGAGGTCGGCTTCACAGGGGTGAAAACCCTGATCTGAATGGAATCAGGCCTACAGCTTCTCCCAGCAGGTCAGGGTGCCTGGAGGAAAGTGGGGTGTAGGTTCTCCTTCCTTAGGCCCTGGGAGAATGGTTCAGCAGGGGCTCATCAGCTGCAGAGCTCAGGTCTAGGTCTGGCAAAGCTCCTGTCCCCCATTCTGAGCCCAATTCTTCCCAGTGAAAACACTTCCAGCAGAGAGTGACTTCCTCTTCCTGGGCCAAAGGACCCCGAATCTGTCCCACACCCAAGTGGGCTCCACCTGGCAATCTGGGGAGCCTGAGGCAGGGGAGGGGTGGGCTGGCTCACGTGGCCATTGTCATCCAGCAGGTTGTTGGTCAGCTTGAGCTTGTCGAAAGACACAATCTGCTTCATCCACTGGGCGCCCTTGGCAGGCGAGTCAGGGTGATAGTGCACGCGGCCTGGAGTGGCAGGGTCGGCCTTTCCGGCCACCAGCCACGAAGAGCTGTGGAAGGCGTACCTGGGGCAGCACCAAAATGGGGTAAGCGGTATTGGGGTGACTCAAAAAAAGACTTGCCCCTTGAGCCAGGTGAACCCCGAAAGGGCATCTGAGAAGTTTCCCAGTGTTTGCAATTGCACCTTTTCCCGCTGCATCTCCAGCTGGGGGCTTTTCCACATGCGTTGTGGAGAAATCGGTGGACACTCCCACCCCCGCAGGACCCACAACAAGTCTAGAGCTGGGGCAAATTTCGCTGCACACGGGTCAGCCAGTCGGGCCTCCCCACCACCAGTGGCCAGGAGCGCCAGACGGGATTTGGCGACACAGGCGGCCCCGGGCGCAGGGCGGTCCACATTCGCTTTATTAATTGCTGTTAATTGTCCGGGCGGTGGAGGCCCGCCCTGCATAATCTCTCCAGGCCACCCCACCTTTCCTGCCTGCCTCTGGGGCCCCCATGCCCCAAGGAGGAGGGGGAGGGGACGAGGTTCCCACACAAGCCTTGTGGGAGCCACTCTGCAGAGTGAGGGGACGCCAGGGCTGGAGTGCTCCAGGCCTGCGGCATCAGGGAGGGAGAGCAGGGATGTGAGCGAGATCTCAGGCCTACAGCCCTTAGGCGCTCCAGTCTGCGTGATTCTGAGGTTCTGGGGAACAGCTGGTAGTGGACAGAGTGGGTCTGGGGTCTGGTTAGGGATGAAGAAATCAAGATGCATGGAGCAGGGTAGCAGGCCCAGGAGCCCAGGACAGCCGGTCATTACTGAGCTGCACCCGGTGTGAGGGCGGCCCTTGAGCGTGGTCAACAGCTTCCCTGTTGGGGCACTCAACCCTTCCCTTCTGCCTCTCCCTCCAGCCTGCCTGGGGTGTCCTGTCCACTCACCGGTAGCGCTTGTCGTCCACCGGCACAAAGTCCATGAGCAGCATGTAATCGGCCATGGGGTCCATGCCGAAGAGCTTCACTTGGAAGGTGGGGAACATGCGCCTGTGGACAGGCAGGGGGCTCGGTCACTCCAGAGGGCAGGCGGGCACCACCCCCAATTACACCTTGGCTGGCAGAAGGCTGGCGGCAGCAGAGAGGGCGGCTAGGCTGGGGTGGGGGTGACTGCTCGGCCAGTGTCCAGCCCCACACTGTCACCTCCCTCTACCCCAGCTCCCCTCAATCAGCAGCAATAAGCAGCGTAGGCCTCCTGGGCTACACTGCTAGGCAAGGCCCCTGCTCGATTTTTGTGGAATATGGGAACGGGGTCGGGCTTCCTCCCCTGTATAAGCCGCGGCTCGGGCTGCGTCCCCCACCTTTGCCAGCACAGCCCCAGCCTGGCCCTCATGGGCTCCCTGGGGGGCCAGGATCAGGCCTCTGCCGCTTTGGGGAGACTCCCAGGACTCAGTCTGGGAACTTCCTAGCCTTTGTAGCGTCTAGCTCTCAGCTCTGTCTAAGCCGCTCCCGGCTCCAACAAAGTGAAACTGAGATGGCCGAGTACTTCCAAGGGGACCTAGCGCCCTTTCTGCGGGCTCTTGGGCTACTCCGCAGTGAAGCCAGGGCCTTGCAGCCCGCAGCCCAGCACTCTGCACCTCTATTCTCGACTCCAGGCCCTGCCTCTGCCTACTGCTGGAGTCTCCCACCTTTGGCCAGGGGCACGGACAAGGTCCCGGTCTCCTCACTGGGGATTCTAGATAGATAGAGCTTGCTCGCTCGGGTGACCTCAGCTCCCACCTCACAGTCCCTGTGGGATGACCACTGACTCCGCTGGTGTTTTGAAAGGACACCCTGCAACTTCTGACTAACCGCTGGCCCGGCCTGGACAGCAAAGCAAGGTCGGGTGTCTGGGCCTGCAGCTCAGCCACATGCTGCCCTGCACTGCTGTCCCATCACAGGTAACTCCCTGCGGGCAGTGGTCTGACAACCGGAGCCAAGAAGCCAGAACCTCCGCAGGCCTGAGCGTTGGCTCCTCTTGAAAAGCAGCAGGCCTGACGGCTGTCCTCAAACACTAGGCCTTCTTTCAGGCCTGCCAGGAGGGTCCCTGCGTGCCCCGAAGGCCGGGCAGGGAGGATGGTGGAGACAGAGAAACAGAAACTGCCAGAAGCTTTGCAAACACAGTCTGCAACTTGCTCCTCTTGGCTTCGAGGATAGAGCCGGTACCTCCGTGTGTACATTAGACTCAGCCCAGCACCGCCTTTGTCTGCTGGTCAAATTGGTTGCATTGGCAAAACTTGTTCCCCTTCTCTCTCATCCCTTAAAACAAACACAGGCCAAGTCGAGGCCGGCAGGGCCCCCACACCAGCTCCGTGGGCCCACAGTCTCCGAAAACTTAGGCCCAGAGATCCGGGCAGCAACTTCCACCAAGCAGGGCACACTTGTGTGCAAGGATCTGAATTCTCCCTGAAAATTATCCGGACAGTTGCCCCCTCCCCCCTGCCTTGTTTATTTCCACGGCTGCAGATTAATCTCAGGGACCCGAGTGAAGGGAGGTCCCTTTGGGGTGGGATCCACTCGGCAGCGAGGCCCGGCCGACGCAGCTTCCTTTCCTGGCGGTTCCCGGTCGTGCGGGGCAGCTCTCGGGCCGGTCTCCCGGGCCGCCATGCCCGCCCTCACACTTCCCTCTCCAGGCCAGCGCGCCGGGGCGGCTGTCGCCGGAGCCGGGACGGACCGCAGAGGGGCCCAGGAGCCGGCCGGCCGAGAGCGGCCCGCAGGTGCCGCGCCCCCCC